GGGGCATCATTTCCCTTGCTCTTTTATGAGGCATTAAATCTGCACCTACCCCTGGACAATGACAGAGCATAATGTAAATCACAGTAGTTAAAAAAAAAAAAAAATCAGAGTAAAAGGCACGTAATCAGAAAGACAAAAACAGACCAAAGAGTCCCCAATGCACTGCCTTTCCAGAAGAAAGGAGGAACAAAGTAAAAACTGGATCATGAGAAAGTAAGAGGAAGGTGGGTGTCCCATGACAACAGCATTTGTGAATCTAAGGTGCCCAACAAAGCACACTGTGAGGTGAAGGAATGTAGGAGAAAAAGCAAGGACAGGGCATCACACACCTGCACTGACAGGGATCTGCTGAAGAGTTCAGTCATCCTGCCAGCCGGACAAAGCTCTCGTTTCTCAGCACCATTCTGCCATGTGGATATCTCAATTATTCTCGAAAGAGGAGCAGCTGTGGTGACCACTAGTCAAGTGACCACCAACTACAAGACCAAACTTGAGGGGGGCACAGTTCAGGTCTATTAGAAAGCATCCCCAAAGGGAACAGAGTTTACCAGCTTCAGTCCATACTTGGACTATTCCTGACGAGTGTTCTACAACATAAAACAGAGTCCCTTCTTCCAGGAGGGTCCTTGCCCGGGGCCCCCACCAGCATCTTACTCCAGACTGAGAAAGTCGGGAGTCAGGGCCGCCTCCGGTGTGGGCTCTCCTCCACCACCAGGCCTCCGACTGGCCTCCAAATTTCGGCACACTTCTTTGCAAAGGTGGAAGGAACTTAAGTTTCACCTAGCAAGCTGGACTAAAACCCCAGCACGTGCTGTCAGCTCCCAGGGGAGCAGGGCAGAAAGAATGTGAATAGCAGCCCCTGGAATCCAGCATCAGACCCCAGGGCACACAACGAAGGGAGTTTCCAAAATGCAGAGCATGCATGCGATGATTATCTCAGGCACCCAGGGGGATCTCAGCAAGCTATCAGGGCAGACGAGAATCAAGAATCGCATACAGAGGCACCTCAACAATCCTTTATTCTGCTCTACCTTCCTGAGGAGCTGCCAGGACCCTAGGAGTGTGTGGATAGGATAAAAGAGAAAAACCAACGGATACAATGAAAAGCTCCTTGTCTCCACTTTAAAAAATCTCATACATATCACGTGGGGGGTCAGATGACAGTGTGTTTTGGTTCCTACGAAAATTAATCTGGAGCATGCACTAATATTATAGAAGGAAATTCTGTTGTTGTCATCAGCTCCACGGATGCTCCAGTGCGGAAAGAAATTAGCCTAGGCGAGGTGAACAGGAGAACCACAGAGTGACACGGATTCTGACCACAGACTGGGCATGATGGTGATGCGGTCCAGCCACGCAGCGAGTTTCTGAGCTCAGTGGGAGCCACAAAGGCCCTGTCCCCCTCCCTGGAGCTTACAGGCTGTCCGGGGCCCCAAACAAACAGGGACCTTCAGGTCAGGAACTAAGGGAGCACAAAGACGTCCAGCATAGGTCATCGGCTCTACTATGCAAAGGAGAAGCTACACGTCAGCCGCAGAAATCCTGGAACTGTGTGCATTTACGGAGACGTGGTAAATTATTATCAACAGTGCAAATCTTCTTATCATGTCCTTGCACAGATGTCTCTCTTATTATCTTCGGATTTTTAAGAATGTAAACATAAGCTTATTTTTCTTTGCTAATTTTTAATGGATGTTAATCACTATCAGACGCCTAGAAAATACATTTTATGTGCACTACATTTTACATAGTCCAAGGTTCTGAATATTCTTAACATCCACCCTCCGCCTGGCCCCGTTATCAATAGGAGACATCATGGGTTGCTTCCTAAAGCCCCGCATGGGACCGTCCAATACGACAGGCATTCACCCAACGCGGCTAAGGAACACTTGAAATGTGGCTAATTTGAGCTGAGATGTGCTTGTAAGTGTAAAATACACACAGATTTCAGAGACTAGGTCTCAAAAATGAATGTAATAGATCTGGGGGATTTTTACATTGATGTGTCGAGTAACAGTATTTTGGATATGTTCAGACAGGAAAACATAGACCATTCAAGTTCATTTCATCTGTACCTTTTTCCTTCTTTAGTATTGCTGTGCAACGTTTCATGCAGTCTTACTTCTATTAAGACAGCAGTGCTCCGTGGAACAAACTTCTTGTCTTTTACAGAGAAGGGGCCCACCCCTTGTACTCCTAATTTCAGTTATTTACGAACTGGATAATCTTCCCTATCCGGAAGCCTAGATAACTGTTGAATACCTGTCATCTTCTTCCTTCGAAATCTTGTCCTGGTTCATAAACAATCTCGGTCCCCTTTCCTCTTTTTCTAAATGGCACCTGAGAACCAAAATCATTACCTGGATCATAGTTGATTGTTGCCTTGTGTCAACAAAAAACAGAATCCGAAAGCGCCTTTCCTATTTCAAATGTACTGGAAAGTGCCCTGGCACTGTCAACATTTCTACAAAAATCTCCATTTACTTCCTCATTCTCCTCTGATTAAACAAGCTTCTCCAGAATATAAGCATTCCCCACGAAACTAACTGTTTTCGGTTTCATTTCCCTGAGAACCCCAGTCCTGGGGGCTACACTGGCAAATGGAACTTCCAGGGAAAATGCATTCACAGTTCTACAAAGCAGACCTACTGCAAAAGGACTCATTATGAACTGATGGTAGAGGGTTATGCAAACAAGAGATACTCGGGATGAAGTCAGGAGCTGAAGAACCAGAGCAGGGGTAATTGGCTAGACCGAACGAGATAAAGCAGTACATTCTGGACAGCGGTGTTTTATACAAGACATTTTGTAAAAGAATGGAGTAAATGAATTTCTGAGACAGTCCCGCAAAGCCTTACTACCTCAAAGAAGACTTAAAGCAGGGAGGAGAAAAAGGGGCAGAAAACATGGAGAAAATCTTCCCAAATGGCACTAATTCTTGGTTCTCTAACAAGTTCAAAGGTTTGGGTAACATTGCCAGGGCCTAGACCGTTAAGGGGCCTGAACCAGTGAGTGGAGCCCTTGGTTAAGTTAATCGCTGCCCCTGCAGGTACCGTGGTCACATACACCACGTTCACGGCTTCAGGGAACAGCTGTGTTTGAATCTGGAGTCAGAAGTAAGGAGCCAGCTCATTTAGAAGTTTAATAAATTTAATTTTAATGAGACTATCTCAGTTGCATTAATACTCATGAAACACCCACAACAGGTTTTTGGACCTTCCATTTGAGAGTAAGGAATTTATTTGACAGTTTAACTTTTTGACCACCTGAGCAGGAAAATTCATGTCAACAAAGTATACTTATGAATCCCAGAAGGTTTCTGAAATTGAGTTATTTCATGATTTAGGAGCTGCATACACTTTTCTCTGCAATTAGTGACCTCTATGGGGGTTTATTTATTTATTTTTTTCTTCCTTAGGAATTCATCCGTTTCTATCTCTGGGTTCATAAAGTGACTGTTTTTTGGGTGCCTTAATAAAAAAAAAAATCAGGGCGCCTGGGTGGCTCAGTTGGTTAAGTGACTGCCTTCGGCTTGGGTCATGATCCTGGAGTTCCGAGATCGAGTCCCACATTGGGCTCCCTGCTCAGCGGGGAGTCTGCTTCTCCCTCTGACCCTCTTCCCTCTCGTGCTCTCTGTCTCTCAAATAAATAAATAAAATCTTAAAAAAAATGAAAAAATAATAAAAAAAAATAAAAAAAAATCAGTCTTATTACCACAGAACCACCCAGCAATATGATTGGCAGGGGGGCAAGGTCACAATGACCGGGGAAGATGAACACATTGTTTATATTTAGAATCAGATCGATCTGGACTCATTCCTCAGCTTTGTCCCTTCTTTGCTGTGCGACCTTGGACAAGTGACTCAACCTCTCTGAGTTGCAGTGTTTGTTTTTATTAGTGAATGCAACTATTCCCTCCTACTCTGCAGGGTCTTAGGACAAGAAGAGATCATGTGTAAACATCTCCGCCAGGTCATGAGTCTACAAAAAGTAATGGGGAATTTTTACAGTTCGAGGAGGGCTTCTGGAGGTTATGAGGTCAGAACCCTCTATAACCTAATGGTGTTATGAAACATGATGTGGAGGCTTTACTTCTCTCCTGATTTATGCATTGAGCGTTTTCTTCTTTGCATTCTATTTGAACTTTTCTTGGCCGGTGACATTCCAGCCTCCGACCATCGGCTATCAATCGGGCTGTCCGAGAGCACGCAAGAGGACTCACAGTCCTTCCAATCAACAGCACGGGGTAGCTTCTCGAACTTTCGTGCACCCGGGTCAAAATGCAGACGGCGCTGGGGCGACTGGGCGAGTGTGGGGTGCGGCCCCGCGCTCTGCACTGCCAAGCCCCTCCCCAGGTGAGGCCTGAGCTGCAGGTCACTGCGGGCAGCCAGGGCTCTGAACGGGGCTCCTCCGCCTCCGCAGTACAGACATTTGAGGCTGGATGATGTGCCGTGGCGTGAGGCGGTCCTGTGCACCCACAGCGCGCCCCGGGACGCCAGCAACAGCCCCCTCCGGCTAGGTCACCCCCACCGCCTGCAGAAGTCCCCCCAAAAGGCGGGTTGAGGACCCCCTGCCCTGCAGGATGCTTCAAGCAAGGTGCGTGCACCCCGGCGCCCGCGGCGACGGCCCCGGGGCAGGCCGGCTGGGATCCGCAGGGCTGGTGTGCACGCGGGGAAACTGAGGCCGGGCCGCGCTGCCGGCACCCGCCGCGGGAAGGAAGCCTCCCGCCCGCACGGTGGTCCCCGAGGACCGCCCCCACGCGCACCGCCCCCCCACGCACTCCGTCCCCACGCGCGGCGCGGCCACCGGAAGTAGTGCCCCGGGCGGCGTCGACGCCAGAGCCCCGCGCGCGGCCGGCCTGACGTGGCCCGCGGCGCCCCCGCCGCCCACCCGGGGGTCCCGGACTCGACCTCGGGGCTGAGAGTCTGCGCCCCCCCTCCCGCCCCCAGCCCTCGCCCACCCCGGACAGCCCTCGCGGGTGGCGGCCGCAAACTACCCACCAAGAAGCAGGCCGTCCATGTCAAAGAGCAGGTGGGTGACGGGCCGTGGCGGGGGTACGGAAGCCGCCATTGTGCCGCCGTTACGGCCAGGTGGGGGCGGAGGGAGGTGCGCGCGCCCGCCGGGCGGCGCACGCGCGCTCTGGGGCTGCGCGCCAGCCCCTCCCCCCCCGGCGCTCTGCGCACGCGCACCCCGAGCCTCCGCGCCTTCGCGCCCTGAGCCGCTCCCGTGCACGCGCGCTTGGGGCCACGCTGCGGGTCCCGAGCCGTACTGCGTACGCGCGCCTCTGGCGTCTCTGGAGCGTGGTGGGATGCGCGCCCTGGGCCGCGCACGCGCGCTCTGCTCTCTCTGTTCCGCGCGCGCGGGCGCGTTTTGGACGCTCCGCTCAGCCGGCGCCGCGGAGTCGGGATGCACCACGTACAGGCCCGAGTTTGCCCGCGTGCACCCCGGCAAACGGGGCCGCGCAGAGCCTAGTTCCCGGTCTGGGGGGCGGACGCAGGACTTGAGTTTGGAGAGGGCGTATGGAAGGAGGGCGAGCCTAGAGGGCCGGTGCATGGGGCTGTTCGGGGGGCCCAAGGGGCCTGGCTGTGCAGTCGTCCGGAGCGGCCGTCCCGGGACCCTCGCCGGGTTCCCTTTCGGTTTCGCGCGCCCGCCGCCCCGCGGGGCTCCTCGGGCGCATGCGCAGGGGCGAGCGGGGCTGAGGCTCTGCACCCCGCCCGCCTGCCTGTCGCGGGCGGTCCCGGGCGGTCCCGGGCCGGTGCGTTCTCCCCAAGCGACCCCGACCGATGGAGCTGATAGCACGGGCCGGACCCAAACTGTTGACGTGCCTAGCCGCCTCATCGGCCTTCCTTGCTCACTTTCTTTTCCTTTTCCGTTCTTTCCGAATGCAACCTGGAAAGAATTTTCTTTTCCACTCTTTCCGAATGCAACCTGGAAAGAATTTTTTCTTTTTTTTGCCACTCTCAACAGCTTTTTGACTCTGTTTCTGTTTAGTGTTGGTTGGTGTTGCATGTGCACGTTTACGCGTAAGGATAGAACCTCTTTAAAGAAGCGGACGTTAGAAAGTTCCAGACGCTTTAAAACACGAGGGTGTATTTCTGAGAAAATGTAAAAACTGCCCTGGGGCAGCTTTGATTCAGCAAGCGGAACCTCTGTGCCTCAGTTTCTTTGTGTGTGGAATGTGGGCATTAAAGACAACGCAGGTCAAGCTCTTAGTATCAGCAAATAGTACGTGGTCAGTGAATGAATGTCTTTTTAGAGCGCTCGCTACGGGAGAGTCTAAGCATGATTTCTTTCTGGGGACAGTGGACCTCCGAGAAGGCAATTCCTCAGCCGCTTAGAGACGGTACTGTGAACCCAGCGTGCTAGGCTGCTGTAACAAGTTCCACAGACTGGGTGGCGTGAACCACAGATGTGTTCCGGAACAGTTCTGGAAAAGCCAGAATTTGCAGAACAACGTGTCAGCAGCAGGATGAACGGCTCCCAAGGGCTGTGAGGACAGGATTGTTCCAGGCCTCTCTCCTTGGCTTGGGCATGGCCTTATCTCATTTCTTTATATCATCTCCTCTCTATGGGTCTATTTCTGCATCCAAGTTTCTTCTCTTTGTGAAGACCCCAGTTATCGCGAATTACCCCCTACCCTAATGCCCAAGCTTTAATCCAGTTACCTGGGTGAAGAATCTTATTTTTAAATAAAGTCACCTGAGCTACCTAGGTGTTGGGACTCCAACTTTTATTTTTTATTTTTTATTTTTTTATGCCTACAGTATGCCAGTGCTCACTTGCTGGAACCTGTAGAATTCTCCTTCCCAGATTTTCTACAGTCTCTAGAAACCGTTGGGGATGTTTTTTTCTCCCATTGTAACATTGCAGTTCTGTTGATTCCTTAGATAAGAAGAGAAAAAGCCTCCAGGGCCAAGACTTAAGAATTCAGAACTGCACGGAATAACCTAGAAGCTGTATGGCGGGTCTCTGTGTCAGGGACAGTTGGCTCCTTACAAGGAGCTTCAGGAGTTGTCTGGATTTCGACAAATCTGCCGCAAAAATAAGCCAACTCGTAAATACAGGTGAGGAAGGTGACACACAACCAGGGATAGAGAAATTTGGAGTCTGTCTCCCTTGCCCTGTTCCAGCCACTGTGGCTCTGGGCATGGCTCTTGGCAGAGAATCCAGTTGGGTCACTTACAGGAACCAAAGTACCAGCTGAGAGTTTACCCTTTCCCTCCTCTGAACTGGCAAAACCTTGTTGCAATTGCAGAAGAGATGCACTGGGGAGTCCTGTGGACTTACCCTCTCCACGTAAAAACGTGGTCCGAATCATTTTTTTTTTTAAGCCTTGTTTCCACACTCTTTGGAAACATCTCCTGCCTACGATCGGAGACACCTCTTTATTTTATAAAAACAAAAGCAAACCAAACTGTGAGAACCGTCATGCTTTTTTGTCATAAGTTAGATGGGAAAAAACTGAAAATGTGTTCACAGTTGAAGTGGTTTCTATGCAAGTAACTAGATGCACTTTAACTTCTGTTAATTCTCCAAACAGTCAGAGCTTCTGTGGAGAGGCAGGATGGATTTCCTCCCACGAATTACAATTTATTTTTTTTATTTTTTTTTAATAATTTTTTTATTGTTATGTTAACCACCATACATTACATCATTAGTTTTTGATGCAGTGTTCCATGATTCATTGTTTGTGCATAA